GCTCATCCGGTTGTGTCCGAAGAGGGCGGGGCAGTAACCAACTCCATCGACGTGGCGCCATAATCTCGGGGTAGTCGGAGACGATAACTCGTTGGAGGAGGAGGTCACTCATCGTGCCATGTAGGTCACTAGCCGAATCTTGACTAGGTCAGTGGACACAATTCACCTCTTACACCGACCTGATGTCTTCCAATCTGTCCGAAAGTCGACTTGTCGAGGTGGGGCCGAGGAGGTTGCGACGGGTGCGAGGTGTCTGAAGTGCTCCCCAAGTTCGCTTATGTGGTGTTGAGATTCCGTCTAACGGTTCTATGGGGCCACATGTCATGATATCACTAGAGGACCAAATCATCCCACATCAATTGCCCCCCCCCAAGAAAAAATATCTAGATTATTAATTAAAAAACTTACCAATTTGGAGTGCAGTGGTTCTTAGAGGCGTGTGCTAATCTACACTATCTTCAAGGGATCGGTATCTAAGACCAATACCAGGACAATGTCTTCCATCCAGTAAACTCTTACCTCGTTGTTCTCCGAGGGCATCTCAAGGTCGATATCGACGTCTTTCTTTCCTTTCCCATTCAGCGCTACTACGTAGAACTTTCACGATTCCAACTAGTCAACATGCACTACGCCTACTCCGCAATCCATCAAGAACTTCATCACCAGATAGTAGGTCGACACCACGGCTCTGAGGGCGTGCAGGATAGGTTGGCCCAAAATGGCATTGTACAGCAATGTTGTAGTCCCAACTAGGAAGTCATGGTTGAAGCTGACTTTGTTTGGTGCAGAGCCTGTTGTCACTAGCAGGTTAATTCAGCCTAGAGGCCGCACCACTTCTCCACTAAAACCTTTTATAGGGATGTCAATCGGAAGCATATCCTTCCTCTCTAGTTCCATATGGTTGAATGCTTCCAAAAATAGTATACTTTCCAATCTATTGGAATCAACTAGAATCCACTTTACCTCGAAGTCATTTATTACTAGTTTGACTACAAGGGAGTCATTGTGCAGATATCAGATTTCATGTGCATCATCATCGGTGAAGTATATCACCTCTTCAACACGAGGGTGCTTCGGCAGGTTCTCTTTGTGTACGAGCTCTCAGACTAAATTTTTGCCTATTGAGGTACTATAGCATGCAACTATTGACCCGCCCATGATCATACTGATGATGCCACAGAGGGGTCAGTCTTCTAGTGGTGGGTCGCATAGAGGTTGATCTCTCCTTGGCAGTGGATTGTTTCTTTTGCTAGTTGGTAGGTCGGTCATGATCCTCTTGTTTGATGAATTTCTTAAGGTAACCTCTTCTAATTAGTTCCTCGATCTCATCTTTAAGTTTACACCAATTTTCGGTATCATACCCTCTATCCCTATGGAAGTGGCAATATTTGTTGGGGTTGCGGTTAGCTAGGTCTCCCCTCATCCACGATGGCCATCTAACGAATTCAGCTAACTTAATCTGCATCAGGATCTCTCCTCTCTTTGCGTTCAAAGTAGTGTAATTCTTGTTTTTAATGAGAAGAGCCTGATAGTGCCGACCTAACAACCTGTTACTCCTATAGGGAGACCAACTTCAGCAACACAGTGATCTACTGTGTTGGCTACGGGGCAAACTGTTGCATCTTGAAGACCTACTCTTTTTCCTCTATTTATTGCTTCCCAAGTCGTACTCCGACCTTTTTCGCTTTCCGCACAACTCTAACATGGACCTGTGTGCTTTCCCGGCCTTTGTAAACTTGGCAGCCTTGTCAAGGAAATCCTCCATAGTGTTTGGAGGGTTCAAATTGGCCTCCCAACGCAAGTCAGGGTGCCGAACGTCGTTGACTGTCGTGGTGAGCTGAATGACTAGGTTGAGATTGGGGATTTGTAACCGCTCCATGTTAAATCGCTTGATGTAGTTTCGGAGCTTTTTGTCGGGTCGTCGGACTACGTTGAGGAGGCTAGTTGTTGACTTTGGATACCACTTACTCGTTGCAAACTAACTCCAATTCTTAATTGAGCCCGTGGCCAATCCCAAGTACCACATCTGAGCTATGCCTCAAAAAGTGGTCGGGAAGGCCATGCTAGGCTTGCATCAATGGCCCCATGAAGTTTCACCAAGGCTTGGAAGCTATCGAGGTGGTCGACCAAGTCGGCTGTCCCATCGTAAGATTCCACGTGGGGGGCCTTGAAGTCTTTGGGCCAAGGAGCTGTGAGGATCTCAACTGCCAATGGAGATGTGTGAGACACGGGCTGCACAAACGAGGTGGCGATCTTGCTCGCCTCTTCTTTCTTTCCATCTTTCATCTTCACCTCTTCCTCACCCTTTGGGACGAAGCGGGTCTTTCTTGTGGTGCAACATGAACGTCTACGACGCCTTCTCTTAGACCCTTTAGTGGAACCAGTGGTCTCGGTCCCAACCGAAGTGGTCGCTTAGTTGGTTTCTTCTTGTGTCACATAGCTAGGGTCCTTGCCTGATTCTGACCGTTTTGATGGCAAGGAGGATCTAACACTGAGTTCTGGCTCAGGTCATTGGGCTGCAAGTGCTAGTTCACGTTCAATGTTGGCGCATGGACCTAACTAGTGACCTATTGTTGTTGCTGCTGCTACTAGTGCATTTGTTGTGGGTGCATTCCAACCACTACTACGAGATGACCCTCCAAGCTCTGCATCTGCAGGTCTATTCCATGGATGTATTGCATCAGCTTGTGAAACTGGCGACCATCGATCTCAATAGGAACCATTAAGGGCTCAATTGCCGAAAGAGGTGCGTTCATGGTGGGCAATGGGAGGTTTAGCCTTCAGTGTCCAGGATACCTGGTAACATCAAGGGGACAATGAACTACCTGATTGTAACAGTTGGGATAGGGATGTTGCTTGAAGATGCCATTGAGTTTTTTAGGAGACAAGTGAGAAATAGGCTTTCGTGTACCATGATCCCATAGATGATGCCAATTGATGATGTGTGATCTAGTGCTCTCTACTAGCAAACAGCTTGGACACTGAACTTAGTAAGTCGCTTAGTTGGGCTGCAAAAGAATAGTATCAAAGTGTTCAGGTTGCTTTACCCAGGGGTCGGCACTTTGATGTTTAAGTCAACGAAGAGTTCTATAGTTTGGTAAGCAAGAGAGCTAGTAGGATTTTTGAGAGCCAAATTGCATGTACCTTTTCTAAGGAGGAGGACACCTTTATATAGGCTAACAACCATGATTTCCACAAAGCGCGTCCAAGATCTCTAGCTCGTCTAATTTGGTGGTGGTTTTTCTTCTGGAGACGGACTCCGCTTAAATGCTTATCCGGTTACGTCTGAAGGAGGCGAGGCGGTAACCAGCTTCGTCAATGTGGTGTCGTGATTCCGAGGTAGTTAGAGACAATAACTTGCTGGAGGAGGAGGTCGCTTGTCGTGCCATGCAGGTTTCTAATTGAATCTTGACTAGGTCGACAGAGGCATATCACATCTTACGCTGACCTAATATCTTCTCGTTTGCCCATAAGTCAGCCTGCCGAGGTGGGGCCAAGGAGGTTGCGACAAATGCAAGGTGTCCAAAATGCTCCTGAAGTCTGCTTACATAGTGTTGAGATTTCGTCTAACGGTTCTATGGAGCCATCTGCCATGTATCATGATGTCACTAAAGTGCCAAATCACCTCTCATCAATTATGGCTTAAGCAATTGAGTCATGTCTTATCATTTCATACCTATTTTATTTCATAACAATTTATGCTCAACATAAACAGAAAGGGTTCACGTGTATCTATTTTTTCAAACGTTAGATATATGGAAGGTGTTATCAAACGACACAAGATCTCCTCCGAATAACAACTCTTGATGGCATCCATGTAGACATTATGCATTTAATACACGTGTATGGGAGATATTCCAAATGCACGATTGAATGTAAATGTTTTTAGGGTGGGCGTTGTGGTAGTAAATCCAGATTCAACTTCATCTAACTATTCAAATAGCAATAACAACAACCAAGGGTTTAAAAATCAGACTGGATATGACACCTTTTTCGAACCGGTTCTGGTTGAATAATCTGATTGTTTGGTTCAAATGGATGACTTGTTCTGACTTAAATATAAATAAATAACGGCCAAAAAAACATTGTTTAAGTCAACAAGTTGATAGTTCAACCATCCAAGTCAGTGGGTTACTGACCGAATCAACGGTTTTAGATCAAAAGCAATTTTAGGGTAAAATGAAACTGATTGTCTGACCGATTCGTGAGTCAATTGATCTGACCATTTAATACAGTTTGATTTTTAAATAACAACAACAACAACAACAATAATAATAATAATAATAATAATAATAATAATAATAATAATAATAATAATAATAATAATAAATCTATCCTACCGAAAATATAGAAGACGGAAAAATTGGCAGATTTATTGTGAACAAAATTACAAACCAAAGGTTTTGTCTAGCGAAACCCGATAAGGACTAATACAGTGCGATTTTGCCATCGGCATCGGGTCAGGAGTCAGGATAGATCTGTCCATCCAGAACCAGAACAGACCGGATTCAATGACAGTCCCATACTCCACTCCGGAGATTATACTAGGCAGAATGTACCAACAAGGTTGCTGATAAGGCAGGTCGTAGCAGAGACTTGGGATCGAATCCCGCCTTCACCGGATCAGGGTCTTGGGGTTTGTGGGAGTGTCTATTTTTTTGATAAATCAATGGGACTATGGGAATGGGAGTGTGGGAGGGTATCTCAAATTCTCAATCTGGTTGAGGACTTGAGGTTGTGTATCTCATTTGCCTTATGGCCTACCAAAATCGAGTTAACGTTAGAACACGGTCAAACCTCGTCTATTCAAAGGGAGTAGTTCTCTGACACGTAGACCATATTAACCGCCAAATTGGATCCCCTATCTGTAACTACATGTACTAATGTTCTATGAGGACGTAGTTGTCATTTTCACCAAAACACGTTCGTCATTCTTATAAAAGTCGAGGGTATCTCGTTTCCAGGTCCTAACTCCTCGTCTCCTTTCCACCTCGTTTACGCTTTAAAAGACTCTAAGCGGGAGTCGACGCGAACGGTGTTCTCTCTTCTCGCTCTCGCTCTCGCTCTCGCCGCTCGCGTTACAATATACACCGACTGTATGAGAGAGACAGAAAAAAGGGGGAAGAAGAGAAAAGAAAATGTAGAAGTGCAGATTTGAGTAAAGGAATAAGGCGTTCACAAAGAGGGAGAGAGAGATCGAGGGAATAAGTGACGGGATTCGCCGAAAATGACGACCGGGATAATCCAAGACCAGAACTTGGAGAAGCAGATAGAGAAGCAAATGGGATGCATGGCTGGATTCCTTCAGCTCTTTGATCGTCATCAGCTGCTCGCAGGGAAACGCCTCTACTCCACCAAACGCCTCCCTCCCTCCCAGGTCAGATTCCTTACCATTCTTTCTCTCACTCACTCTCTCTTCCATTTCTCACTTCATTTTTTCCCTGCACCAATGACAAAATTAATAGAAGGAAAAAGATTCAATTGTTTTGATACGTTTTATTGAAAATTCAGGCAGTCGATTCTACAACGCAGTCGGAGAATTCCCTGGGATCTCCAGCGTGCCCTAGCGACCTGCAACAGCAGCAGCAGCAACAACAACAACAACTTTATGTGCGGCCATCTCCAGAAAACGTGAAGCATTCCACGCCGGAAATCCGTAATCCGGTGCCGGAAATTGCAACTCCGGTTGAGACTCCGGTGAAAACGCCCCTTCCTCTTCCAGTGTTCGATTTCAAGGAAGGTTTACGATCCTCGTGGAAGTTCAAAGAAGCACCGAGGCTTTCTCTGGATAGCAGAGCTACTGTTGATGGAAAGGGAAAACTGTACCCGAGGGAGATCCAAACGAATGCAGCAATTTTCGCTGCGACTCAATGCAGCGTAAACTCTGGAGAAGCGGCCTCTGCCGATGATAATGATAAGCAGCGCCGTTCGCCCAGCGTCATCGCACGGCTTATGGGCCTCGAGGTGCTGCCAGACTCCGGCCGCGAACCTCTGAAGAAAGCTGAGCAGCCTGAGCTAAGGAGATCTGCTTCGGAGTCCAGGGTGTCAAGAGATCTGCTTCAGTATCGTTTTGTAGACGGAAACAACTTCCAGATGAAGCAGCCTTGCCAGACGAATTTCGGAAGCAACGTCATAAGCAATGCGATAAGAGATAATAAATCAAACGTTAGGACGCCGGATTTTATGGACTTCTGCGTCAGAAAACCGAAACACGAGCAACCGAAATCTCCGAGCGGATGCCAATCCGCGTCCACATGGAAAGCGCCCCAGCAACGTAAGAGTTTTTTTGATGCACAGGATTTCTTTCCGGAGCCAAAGCAGACGGGCTCTCTATATGGAGAGATCGAGAAACGGTTGAAGATGCGGGGAATCGACGAACCAGCCAAGGATCTGGAGACGCTGAAGCAGATTCTCGAAGCTCTGCAACTCAAAGGGCTACTGCATTCTAAGAAATCGGCAGAGCAACAGATCGGGCATAGGAATTTCATCTATGATCGGAAGTTTTACGCCGAGGATTCCCCGATTGTCGTCATGAAGCCATCGAGGTCACCAATTTCGACCAATCGTGCTAGAAGAACTACAGCGGAATCACCTCCTCAGAATTTCAGATCCAAAGCTGGACTTCGTAGGAACCTAAATCTCGCTAGTGAGGCATCGCCGCCTGTCAAACCGAGAGGAGGTCGGCCGGAACTGGATCGAAACTTGCAAAATGAAAGGAAAGCGAGAAGTTCAATGTCTCCTGATCGAAACGAGAGCAGTGCAAGAAGTCCGAGTTCTCTTGCACGGAGAAAACCACTAAGCATTGATTTCCAGCGGAGAGCAAATGATCCAGTGGAGCAGCAGCGGAGGACCTCTCCCATTCACTCCCCGAAAATAAATTCGAAGAAAGTCGGATCGGATCAAACGACGAGTAGATCACCGAGGAACAGGAAAAGGACGCCCGAGATTTCCCCAAAAGAGAGAATTTGCAGTCCCACGGAGGATCAGTCATCCACTATCTCTGAGAGCAGCATCAGTACGTCCTCTCTGGTAGACGCAGAGGTGCGACCGAGACTTCATTAATTTTCTCTTTTTTCTTTTCTAAGAGTTCCATTCTGTGTTCTCACTTTTCAAGGGAATGCAGTCACAAAGATCAAAAATGGAAGCTTGCAATCAAGGAAGGAGCCTCTTAGAAAGATGCGATAAGCTGCTTCACAGCATAGCTGAAATCACAGCGACCGAGTTGCAGCCGAGCCCCGTCTCAGTCCTTGACTCGTCTTTCTACAAGGACGAGTCGTCACCTTCGCCCGTCTTGAAACGGTGCATCGATTTCAAAGGTATTTCTATCACTGAAAACTAGTTTTCGGAATTTCGTTCTTAGGTTTGCATGGTACTCCGGCTGCGACATGGGATTCCGGTTTGGCACCCAAACCTTGATTCCGGCTCATGCTAGTGGCGTAGTGGGCGGAAAATCTAACGTGAGCCGATGGTACGGTGATGTTAGATACTAATTAGATATAAACCGGAGTCCTCTGATCGAAAGCCGTTGGATCTACTGTCCTTGTTTGAAGGGTATTAGATTTCCGCATTGATTAACTGTTAGACCGTCGTGATTGATTTTAATAGAAATAAATAAGAAAATGACCTAAACCACCCTCTCTGTGGATCATGTTGCCTGAAAACCACCCAGGAATTACTGATTAAAATCACATCTGATAAGGACCGGCCATGCCGTCATCCGTCTGGGTGAATTCGTGAACTTTATTAAATATCAGTTTTTGCTTCCCTTTGGGGCATTCATTTATGCTGGATTACAGTACAGGGACATTTTTTGTTAATATGTCTCTTTTGCTTTGTCGTTGTTGAGTGAATCACAGATGAATCAGGAGAGCTGGAAGATGAGAACTGGAGCCCGGTGGTTTCGCCCGTCCGATTGAAATTTGAAGATAAAACGGATGACTCCGATTTCCTTTACATCTCGGACATGCTCCGAGCTTCAAACTGTCTACCCGAGGACTCTGATGTCTTCCTTTTGTTGGAGAAACAATATTACAAGGGGGACTCGTCGTCAAAGGCTTCCGCTCTCCATCGGAAGCTTGTTTTTGACACAACAACTGAAATTCTGGACAGAAAGAGACAATTGCCGCCGTGGAAGGCCTTTACCGTAATCGGAAAGGCATCGTTGCAGCAAGTATGGTCGGAGTTTCGGAGGATCCGAGAAAGAGATCCTGCGGAAGACCTGGTGGAGGTCATCTGCGGGGTGCTCCGGAAGGACATGGCTGGAGACGCGGTCAACGGATGGGGAGATTGTCCTGAGGAGATGTCAGAAGCGGTATTGGACATTGAACGGATGATATTCAAGGATCTTGTGGCGGAGACTATCCGAGATCTCGCTGCCTTTGCCGGGAAAATCAGAGTTCCGGCGCCTCCTCGAAGGAAGTTGGTATTTTGAATGGAAGCGCGCTACTCCTTTCGTTGGGTCTCGGACCTATGGTTCTTTTGTTTTTGTTTCTTTCTTAATTATATAGAATTTATAAATATGGGCAATTAATATATAGGATAAGATGTGTAGGAAACGTCGTCGTTTGGTTCACCATCCAGGCATCCACCCAAACGAGTTTCCTTTTTAAACGCCGGTTGCCTTTTGAAGATTTTCGCTGTAAGAGCAAGATATCGCGCAATGATTTGTCCTACGACACTCCCAGTAAGAAGCAGAAGAATCAAAGAGAAAATACGAAAAAACTAACTTTCGCTTTCGCTGAAATGTGTAAAGCAGCGGTGTAAGTAAGCTGTAAAGAAAGAAATCCAGTCCCAAGAATCTTCGTATGTTCTATGTATCCCATCTAATCTATCTATCTATCTAACTATGTCTTGTGAAGCGTATATCTAATAAATAAATAAATAAAACGGTATTTAACACAATAATCATCATCATACGGCTCTAAGAATTAGGGTCAATGGGCTTCTAGACTTGGACCGGCAGTTGTAGGTCACAGGCCTAGTGCTTATAAATCATGGGGCCTTACTTACTGGATGACTATTACAAGTTGACTATATGTACATTTGTTTGATCACAGCGGTCAGGTTCATGGGATACTTATTCATTACAATCTTTTGATCTCGGGTCCCACCAGCCGGGAGCAAAGGTCTAACCATTAATGGCCGGCCCACTGGCTTCGTCTGATTGATGGAAATATTCATCAATGTCGTACGCCTCGAGGTTTTCTTTATGGATTTACGTGAAGTTGAAACCAAAAAAAAATATATATTGAAAAAGAAAAGGGTAATCCTACTGTACGCGCTCCTCATAGTTGTTAGATACATATAAGAAGGAAAGATACTAGTGGTGGACAATGGGACAGGGAGGAGGACATGGAACCTTGTACGTTACTTGTACTGAAGTGATGCAAGGTATAAATACTGGGACTGGACTTTGGTGATGTATTGCTGTTATGACTGAGCTCAGCTAGCGGTGACTGATGAGAAACATATCTCAGTCCAGGCTCCAGCAAACTAAAACTACCCGACTGATCCTAACTAGTTCTTTTTGGAAGGCCTGAAGATGTGGCAGCCTTTAGCTTTATTTTGTCAGATATTCTCCTTTTAATCTCCTACTCTCCAAACTAAAAATGACTTACCATTTCATTATTTTGGTCGGTGTTTACGATTTTCACATGATTCTCCTTTTTTTGGTCCTTGTGGTTTAACCGGCAGACCCGGTTCACGATGCTCTGGGTAGTTTGGGATTTGGTGTAAGATGCGCTCTATGAGGAACAGATCCAAAGGACGCAAACAATGACAGTAATTCAATGTATCTAAGGACCGATTTCCAATTCCAGGGAGTCGTATTATTGGCCTTTATTGGAATTTCTACAGATTACCCGCCCGCACCCCTTCTCATAGATAGCAATGAGGGGTAGGGCCCCCTCCCCCCATAGATGGGGCAAATCCAATGGTGTAACAGAGTAATGAGGGGCCCAGGCTGCAACTACGCGCCATGTGGGCCCGCAGGCCCAATACAGTCTAGCTTTGAGATAAAGTGGGACTGGGACAACCACGTGTACTGTTGATATAATGATGTATACTATTGTTGTTCTTTTTATTATTTATCTGTTGCTATAGAAACAAGGGCATACTTTTTTATCAACTATCATGTGGATGTGGTAGGGTCCGTTCACGAGGTCCTTTGGACCCAATCATGTGCAAAAGTTTCTACACAAGCATGAACGAAGACATGACATAAACCTTTATCCATTGCACAAATTGACTATTATTCAAAGGAATGAAACAACTGTTCCACTTGTACATCTTTTTTTTTTTTTTTTTCTGAGCTGATTCACAATTTTCTTTTTAAAGGAAAAGAATGATTTGGGCACATCCCTAAAACAAGCATCTTCCTGGTGGAAGGACGAAGAAATCAGTGTGTACCGTTTGTTATAAGAAGAAAAAACTTGGGAGTATTTTGGCAATCTAAAACAAGTAATGGCAGCTGTTATTAAAAACCTGATGTGCTCAAATCACTCCCCTCCCTCCCCAACATTGATAGTCCAGTCCAAAGTCTAATATCCCCTCACTCCTCCTTTTACTCTTTTTTCTTTGAATCCCTTAAACCATATGTATGTCTTCCACCCAAGGCTCAGAGTATTGATACCCTCCATACCCTTTTTTCTTTTAATAAAAAAAGTATGAAATATCAACAAGCAACTAAAAACATCAATAGTTGCAGTTTTATTAGCCTTCAGTTAATAACCATCTGCCCACCATTATTTCACACCTACTGTCCCTAATTCCTTTAGTATTTAAAAATCCCAAAGTTCAAAAATCGTCACCATATTTTGAACATTGATTTCATCTTGATTCCTGATAAATCAGAAAATTTTAAGGGTTACAAACTTACAATGGGTCGTCTGATAGCGTTTTGTTTGGAGGAAAAAAAAAATGGCAGGTTGAAGTTAAACCGGGATTGGGAAGAGATCACCAAACCAACCTCACCCGGACAAACACAGTAATTTTATAATTCTTGGATAATCTGATAAGTAAAATTTCCATCACGAGTGACGACAGAGGCTCATACAGTATATTGAAGACATCACATATGTTTGGGCTGTGGTCACGTCTTCTGCATGTGTTTTTTGATCCTTCACTCGCGCAAGTCCCAACCAAAAAATAAATTAAATATATATAAAATCAGTAACAGTATGATTGATTGAAAATTGAAAGGTGAGAATGGGCCCATAGATTAGGAGAGAAGTGAAGGGATAAGAGTCGAGCCTATGCAAATGCAACAATTTCCTCTCAAGAAGTGGGTCTTTGGTTGTCACCGTTTCCTTGGGGACATGAGCTGTGACCCCTCTATCACTTGGTCATGTCTCTACAAGTAATTAACAAGATGAGTATCAGTATGCCCACCTAATACTATTTACTAGGGTTGCTTGCCTCCTCTCTGCTTCTTTCATTAATTCCTTATTCCCTTAAAAACTTTTCAGAAGCAACTTGGACCACGAATTTCTTCAACAGGGTAAGTAGGGTGGGGGGGTCCTTGTCATCCTTAGAGGGCACAAACTTATCTACAGATTAGAGAGGTTGATGGTGTGTTTGTGGGTGCAGGACTGTTTGTACCTTTGCCACTGGCCACATGGTGTTGTTGTGGAGACTTTATTATTGTATTGCCCAATCTACACATTTCTTTTTCTTCCATTCTTTTACTACCAAAAAGCCAAGAGGGGTTTCAAGTAAGGGACTAAGGGAGGGAGGGATACAACTTGTGACCACCTCTTCATGGCCAGTTAACTATGTACAATCATTGTCCTTGTCGTCATCGTTGGTGTCTACTCCTTAACTGGACTCTTTCCCGATGGTGACCTAACCAAGATTATTTCTAACTCATGGGTACATCTCCCGGCCCCTAACCCATGAGTGGAACTGGAATGAACAACACTTTTCACTGCATGGGTGGGTGAAGTGGGGGATTTATTTGATAATTAATATTGTCATTTCAATATGAAGTCAGAGGATCTCTATGACTCCACATATTTTACCTATCATCACTTTCACTTTTCACTTAAGATGACAAAAATCATTAATGTTCTCCATTTGAGCTATTACATGGATCATTTTCATGGATGCTTACCTGAAAACATTTCTAGCTTCCTTTCAACTTTTCATCTTTAATTTGCTTATTCAGTCTGTCATATGCTGCTAACCAAACAAGGAACACACCAATACAGAAATGTTTTAAATGATCCCAAAGCCTTATCTCATCCCTCTTATGTCTATAAAATTAATAAATAAATAAATGCACACAATAAATTAAAACAATGCTCAATTTAGATAGATACAAGGTTTTGCACTGTACACAATCGTATTTGTTCTATTCCTAAACTGAGCCTATGCTACATCCAATAGCATGAAGACCATTGTTTATACTTTAGATTGGTGGAACAATGGCCACCAACATAGCCAAACAAGTTAATTTCCTGGCCCTGCATACTGGGGCCAATTTATCTTCATCATCCCTTTGGGCTTTGGATCCCACTGCAACCACTAATTCACCATCATTTGGCATTCTTGACACTGTCTGGTGAGTTGGTGAATCTAACTTTTGGATGATGTTTTTTTTCTATTTCCATTTTTGGCCTCAATACCTCCATCTCTGATCATGGTGTTTCTTCTCTTATCATATCTACACTTGAAAGTTGAAACTGTACTCTATCCTCCCACCGTCAACAATTGGAAATGCCTGTTATGACCAAGCAGAAAACAACCTAATTAAATCATCTCATTACATTGTTGAGGTATTCAACACTCAAAACAAAAATCATACATGTATCTTAGGATGATATACATTATCATCATCATCATCTAGCCTTGTCCCAACCATCTTGGGATGATACGAAGTACCACAAAGAATCTGTTATTGGAGTCTGAACATGGATCTCAACTCAAGACATGATTCCTGCTGAAATGCATCATGGAATGTTCTGATATCTACAAGTTGTACATTTTACTTTGGCCCGGCCAGTCTTGTCCTATGAACAAGATGCAATGCAAATGGGTATATACTCAATCAAAGATAATGCTGAAAGTACTACTGACAGCTAGAAAGCCTAAGCAATGGCTTCAACCAAAATCGTGGTCTTCACTACTTGGAGATGTCAGTAAGTGGCAAATACAGTTCATACTTTTTTATTATCTTGCAAAAACTGGAGATTGACTGAATTACCAATTAAATGTAAATAGTGTCTTTCATCATAAGTAGAACTTCTCCTTCAAGATCTTATAAATGTATAACCATTGTTGCAAGTGATTGTTTTGCACTTTGCATCTTCCACTTACACAAATTATTAAAAGTAATTCATTTTTCCATCTATTGGCTCCTTCAACAGTTTTTACCTAATAGAAGAAAATAGACAAAAACACTTGAAACTCAAAAATTGGGGAAACAAGGCATGTAATGAATTCTTGAATTTGGGAGTAAGAGCCAATCTTTAGAAACTATAAATTTTAACAATCCTTGAGTAGCAATGTGAAATCATGCTTTACCAGTTTGCAAAAAGGTTGATAAATTTATGGGTGATAATAATTGGAAAATCTATAGTTTAGTTTGAACCTGGAGAATGAATTACTTAACCAAGCTACTTTGATTATTTAGAAAATTCAATCAGTAGGGCTTTACATAAACATCGTCACACAACCTCATGTTCTTTAGCCATCTAAACATCAATGCTGCATCAAAAATTTTCTAATTCCTCCTCTAGTAATATCTAGGGTTTTCTACCTTGAACCTAGTAAGCTGACTGTACGCTTGTTGACACCATTAATTGTATGGCTTGCTTGCTGATACTAAATTTTCTTTCTTAGCTAAGCTTATTTTGAAATTTCCAGATTCTAAATCACTCCTCTATGACCTCTGTAGTTCATTAAAACCGTGTCATTTGCAAGCAACAAGCACCACAGAGCCTTTAAAATATATTTTAAATTAACCCATCCATAACCAAGTACCAATGGATACTCTGTTACAAGGATTCACAGGTTAGTTAGACATTAAGCTCAGGTGGTTGATATTATGCCCATCTTCAATTACTAATAGCTGACTGAAACCCAAAATCCCTTGTTTATAATGAGATTGGGAAACATCATTAGATGGCCTCAAATGGAGGGAAATGGTCTGCGGTGACTAGAATATCTTCTAAATGAGGTCCAGAGAATTTTGCCAAGCTTGACAGTACGTAAAGAGAGAAAATGGATTCCTAGAGAAATAAATTCCACAGAGCATGTACTCTTCATTTTTTAATATAATACATAATCATTACTTTTCCTCAATGGGTGGAAGAAAGAAAATGGAACCACAGATCAGTTTGCAGAAAATAATTTTGCATTTCCTCCAGCTCTCAGAATACTCTAAATTAATGAATACAGATAAACATTATAAAGCCAAATAGAAGAGAAATATATGGATTATGAAATTATTCATCATATTTGTCCATGCCTTTCTTATTACTTTCCCTTCTTCTGACATCCTGCTCTCCTTTCCTTTTTCCAGTTAGTTTTGCAAAGCATTTCTTGTCCACTCTATCATTTGCATACTCAAATTTGTTGCTATATGCTATTTATTCTATAGCAAGATGGAGTTCATTCTATGATTACTTGGGTACTGCATCCTTTGCAAGATGGAGTCTATTCTGAGTGCAATACTAACATCAGAAATCCTCTAGTTCAATGATCCACCAGTCATTTTAACAACTAAAGTTTAGAAGGAAGAGTTTCTAGTCGAATCAATATATATATATATATATAAGCTGTGCAAAAGTATGCCATCCTGATAAAATAATAGAAAAAAAAAATGACAGTTACCTTTAATAAAAAGAGTTGGAGAGTAGGGGTTTGTTCTTAACATCATTCATGAAATGTATGAATAACAAAATTATCTGCTACTGACCTTAAAGTAAATCACCTATCTTACCACAGAGATCCAAATCTAAATGGCTCAAGTCTACAACTTCACCAATAAAAACAAACAAAGGATCATCGGACTCTGAGTTTTTAAAAGTTTCCATAGCACCAAAAAGTGGATTGCATCATTCTGCCTACGAAAGGCAGCCCAGACATTGGTTGAAAACCTTATTTATCTGCAAGTATACTTGTTATTCAGTACCTTCACTACAAGAAAAATGGTCAAAGCCAGTAGTCTCGGCTTAGGCCTTTAGACCGCCGCCCTTGATCTAAGGTGGCGGTCAGGCATCCACCCCCTAAGCCACTGTCGCCTTAGATCAGGACCGCCGGCTCAGATGAAAAAAACCACCGCCTTAGGTTTTGTCAAACATCGTTTGCATCTTTAAGTGGCGGTCTAATCCGCCGGCTTAGATCCTAGATGACTGCCGCCTTAGGTTTTGTCAAACATAAATTGCATCTTTTGATGGCGGCCTAAACCGCCGCTTTAGGTTTTGTCAAATGCCGCTTGGGTTTTTAAGTGCTGGTCTAAACCACCAGCTTAAATCTCATATGACCGCCGCCTTAGGTCTTATTTATGGCTAAACCGGCAGTTGGATGACCGCCAGCTTTGATATTTCTTTTTTTTATTATTTTTATACTAGGTTAATTGCATCATTTTTTTGTACCTACACTTTAATTCCAACATTCATCACTTTAATACATGTTTAATACAAATCTCATGACAATTGATATATTATAAACAATTTAAATAAAAAAATGCAATTTAAAGCAAAACCTATTAATTTACAAAATTAATTGCTATAATATCCAGAACAAATTGTTCAAATACAATATCCAATTGACATATAAAAAATACAAGGACTTCAGAAACATTCAATTTGTCAAATAATGTAGCACATCTTCCAATGCAAATCCACTTAAACCTGCAAATTACCTATGCAAAATATAATGCAATCCTTGATGGCCTCTTGGATTAAAAGAACAACTATAATATTAACATGCCAAAATGCCCCATGCAATCCTTCCAAATTTAGTGATGGCAATGCAAGCATTGAATATGGCAAGAAAAAACAACAAGAATGTTGTCCAGATGTAAACCCTGCAAAGAGAAATTATCTTAGTAAGATCAATATGGTATATAAAATTCTAAGAACTCAAGTATTGAATTATGAAGAAGTTGGAACACCAACAGCGGTTCCAACTATTCTATAGCGTCCATATGGGCGCATTAATGGTGCATCACTTATAATTGGAACATTGATCACGACCTCTGTCCATCCATAACCAAGTGGCACACCACCCACAATCTTCTGAGGATCTAAACTTGTAATGGTTGCTTTGGCAATGGATACAAATCCTCCTTGCATGAAAGTCAACAAATTACATTCTGTATTTTCTTGCAAATGTAATTGTCCTTGTCAACAAACACCTTACACTTTCTCATTTGTGTTTAAATCAAATGACACTTACTAAAAACACCCGTGATTCAATGTTGGAGCTAAATTGATGATAAAAGGGACTTTGAAAAGCATGTGCGGAGGAGTGTCTTCGCAATTGGGATGATTCACATCGATCCTTGCATAGAATTAATGAAACATATGTATCAAATAAATATTTATGCAATCAAGTATAAATTATTTAGATATATATATATATAAACAAGGGTGATACCTGTCTATTAAGCAATTGAGCTTCCATCACATCCATCCGTTCTCGCATAGATGCAATCTGTTCTTCCAGCTTTTGTGAATGCTCTTCGGCTGCTCTTTTACCTTCATTAGCAGCCCTCAAGGCATCTTCATGGCTCTGGCGTGGGCCCCTGAACCTGGATGGTGTTGGGCCTAAACCTAGACCACGCACTCGGCCACAACGTTCTTGGCCCATCACACGAGCATAGACATCATCGTGTCCTTGTTCACTGCCCTCATTTTGAGTGTCTTCCTCTTGAGACATGCAATTTTGCATTTCCTCCTTGGATATTATACAAAACTATTAGTAATTCAAAGCAACTTGTTAATTCATACCATTTAATACACTTGAATAAATATACCATTAAAGAACCAGATCTTGGATCTACAGGTGTTCCATCCTTTCTCTTGTGTGTTGCATAAAATACCTCCGCACGTGATACATCAGTTTCCCTCTCTATTTTCTGTTACCATGAAGACAATATGTAATTATTTTTAACACATACAACATGAATGAATGCAGAATGTATAATGAACAAATCAAATTTGTATATTACCAATTCCTCGCGTACTCTTGCAAAGCTCTTTGCTCCTGTTGTGTGATTGATTGTTTGTTTGGAGCGGTTAGGTTTGTTGGTTGTGGATCTTGCCTATATTAAAATACAAATAATTTACTTTTCACTCATTCAAATAAAACAAAAAAACAAAAATATTTAAATGTTTAAGATACTTACAGTCCCTTTTTCAGATCTCCAAAACTGTACCAAATTTCTCCATTGGTGTGCATCAACCCGACTTTCAAGCTGCTCAATTGATAGTGCATCTGCACTATCCGGATCAGGGTCATAATACTTTTTCTTCAAATTGGACTTCCAATCCCTCCACTTTTTACCCAATGACTATTATGTAATCTTTCGTGTCATCATTCACCTTGAATTTTTTCTATAACCAAAATAATAAACCAACCATCATGTTTGCATAAGAGAAACGTCTAAAAAATAAACAAAAAAATAATGAATTTAATACCTTGATAAGTTTCCATATTTCTTCCTTTGTCTCTATAGGAATTCCTCTCCAATCATCTATGTCTATGGGCAACTGATTTGGAATTCATGCAAGCCTACCCAAAAATCTAACTAAATCCTTTGTTTTTTCATCATTGAGTTAGTTGTATTCATTGAACCCAACTTCAATTTGTTCCCCTTCAAGCATGTTCCATATATCTATGGCCATAGTGGGGCCTCTTAACCTACGTGTTGTACGAGAAGACCCCTCTCCAACATGCCCACTAGAGGACTCCTCATGCCTTCCCAAGTTTGGTGACTGGGTTGGTGATGTAGTATCATCTACGTCAGGTGTTGACCCAGTATGAGCCATCGATTGACATGCATGTGCCCGTGTATCTTCTATATTGGGTGTGTTACTAGTGGTCGGGCGGGACCCTGATTTATTTGCTCATGATCATGTCCCCTTTTCTTTAAGTTTCTTCGATATATTCATTTTAACCTGTTACAAACCAATAGGGTACAGAGCTTCAAAACCCATAAATTCATCTTAACTCAAAATCCATTGTTCAAGATTCAAGGTTAGAAGAGGTCAGAAATCCAACCACGCCTAGCTAAACTGGTATTACTTGCACCATAACACATTTATAAGATCCATCAATAGTTCAAAACTCAAAATTGAAAATAAAAAATTAATAGTACTTATTCATACACATAAATTTGATGCAGCTAAAGACAATTTAGAAAAGAAGATTCCTACATTTTTCTTACTATAATATGATGCAGCTAACTACAAAATTTGACATTACCGTGAATATCAAGACCATACGGAAATTAATAGTACTTATGCATACACAGGAATGTGAATCGCTAGAAACATGTGAAGTGTATGGCTAACCCAATAACGAAAKKTTCRTAAGGGGACTGGAGCAGGCTACCATGAGACAAAAGATCTTCTTTCTAAAGAGATTCGATTCGGAACTATTATATGTCCAAGGTCCAATATTGAAATCATTTC